TAACAAATGGCTATAACTGCAAAAAGTAATAGTAACTAGATATTATGACATCCAACACTTATGTTGTAAAGTTTTTAATGGCCTGTCCATTAAAAACATTAACAATGTAAAGAATCTAACAGTAGCACATGTAACCAGTGTAATATTAGTTGCCTATATCAGTCATATTTGATACAACAGTACATGAAAAATTTGTCATAGACACAAAGTGACAAATACATTTCAGGTTAAAACCCAAATGCATTGCTGGCCACATGCGACTGATATAATTATAACAGCTAGTGATATGTTGACCACGTGTCCGCCCTGACATATGGCATGGCAGTACATGCACGTAATTCTACTGAAAAATTTTAAAAACTCAAAATTTTAAAATAAATGGTATTTTCTATGCAAACTTTCTTCTGTCACTTGAAATTCTGATTATGCTTTACATGCACAAAACTTATTTTACTTAGGTCGCAGATCTAAAAAAATGGGGGGAATGGGCACAATAAGATAACTTTTTGTTTTTACATTTAATTTTTTACTACCCGGTGGCAAAGTAGCTAGCACGTTGCACAGCTGAACCACAGGTCCGGGGATTTGATCCCCAGACTGGGCAAGGTTGACTCAGCCTTCCATCCCTTAAGTGGGGTCGATAAAATGAGTACCATGTTCACTTGGGGACTAAACACCAGGGGTCCTGGACAAGCTGACCATTTGCCCAGGCATATACTGATGCACTCCAGAGCCCAGAGCTGTGGCACCACTGAGTTTAGTTTTATTAATTTACTTTTAAATAGGGGTTCAAAAAAAGCAAAATACTAGGACTCATGAAGCAAGTTACATATCACTTAAATTCACTGCTCAGATAAAATGATGTTTCCCTGCAAATATATTCACAGCAGTTAAGAATTACAATTATACACTGCTAATTAATAATATCACATAGACTCCAACCTTCAGCAAACCTTGTCAGTAGTCAACGTGCGAACGACATTTTTACAACTTTGAAAATGTGCGCGTAGCATATGTTGTAATTAACCATTCATTAATTTTAAATTAATAATTAATTGTAATCAATTTTATTACATTTAAAATCCATATACATATAAAACTGAATAATTAAAAATATACCTTGTAAATTATATGCACATTTAATTAGAAATTTTCTTTTAACTCCTCAAGCATTCACTAATAAAAAGTACTTCAAATCACTACTAATCATAGAAAAAATCAGAAGCTATAAATCATATCTTTATTCTGGATATGATTTCTACAGGGAAATAAAATTTAAATAACCAAGAATGATACATATAAGTATTAAACAATGATAACAAACTGTACCCATTGGTTATAACATACTACAGTAAAGAAAAGGGAGTGATAATTACTTCATTGATTTCTATTTTAGAATGCATGATAATACAGGAGAAGGTATTTTTAATTGTATAAATGAAAACTTTAAAAACAAAGGTTTAGAATGGAAAAATTGCTTATCATTTTCTTCAGATAATGTTAGTAATATGATTGGAAAGTAAACAAAATACGCATAATTTATGAATGCAAAGATTTATATGTAGCTTAAGTTCTGATTTTGAGAATGTTTTTTTTAACACAGTTCTTCATTTGCCTGCATATTTATTTTTTCAATCAAAACTGCTTCAAGAGTTTTAAGACCTAAATTTGGTCGAAATTCCGTCTGATTTTTTTTAACAATAGAAAAAATTCTTTCGCAAGCTGCATTTGAATGAGGTATTATTAAGACAGCAAGCATTACAGAAGGCAATACTTTGTATTTAATACACCCATTCATATTTTTTTTAATTTGGCAATTTCTCCCCATGCTATATCAATACGCAAATCTACAATTTCTTTCAAATCATCTACTTGATACATGGAAACTCAATTTCTACTTGATTAAGACATTTTTCATCAATAATGGATGGAAAAGTATTCATCAAGTAAAGAACAGATAAAAATGAGACTTCAGTTCTCAAGTTGATGTCAGCAACTTCAGCATGTTTTAGAAATGGATCACTCAGTGGAAATTTATCAATTATATATGAACATGCAGTTACAAAAAAAGCTCGCACAGAATTGAAAAATGATTTCACTTCACTTTCATTCAACTTGGCATTTTTTAAATATAGTCTTGTTTCCACACCAATCACTAAATTTTCATTTTCTTTTTGTTTACTATACTTCTGAAATGGAATAGACGTTAGAGTAACATCTTCATTTTCTTTAGAAATTACTGATGGTTTTACGAATCTAACAAATAAATCCATTAAAAGTTCAAAAAGTTCTCTTCTCAATTTATGTATATAAGGAGCTTGTTGTTGCAAATTAATATTTACTGTTATAAACAAAGATGCAAAGTATTTTTCAAAAATAACAAGTACAATTTGGTGGTAGGTGACTGTAAATTTTTTTTTAATGTTTTGCAATCTCTTTCCTTCATTCTCACTGTTATCTGGTTTATCCCTCCAAAAAAATTAATCACAGCATCCCAACTGTTCCAAAATCCTTGTTATATAGATTCTAAAGAGACAACCATCTCGTACTGCAATATTTCAAAATTTTATGAGATTTTGCATTCTGTCCCAAAATTTGTTGAGCAACTTTGAAGCTATGCTTCCGTTTCGAACTTTTCTCCAAGTAAAAATATATATCTATTATCAACATTTCAATTTCTGAGCCAATTAAATTTTCAGTAGCTTTTTTTGCAGCTATATGCAAGAGGTGGCACGGACAACCTTGGTTGATTATACTTGGTTGATGCATTTTGATAAATGATGCTACACCTTTAAACTTTCCAATCACATTACTAACATTATCTGTAGAAAATGATAAGCAATTTTTCCATTCTAAACCTTTGTTTTTTAAGTTTTCATTTATACAATTAAAAATACCTTCTCCTGTATTATTCGTGCATTCTAAAATAGAAATCAATGAAGTAATTATCACTCCCTTTTCTTTACTGTAGTATGTTATAACCAATGGGTACAGTTTGTTATCATTGTTATCATTACTTCCATCAGTACTTAGAGAAAATGATGTACTGCACACTGATTTTATAATATCAGCAACAGTATTTTCTGCAAGCGTTTTCACAATAGCAGCAGTTTTGGTATGACTGCAGCTAAATTTTTTTGCTATGGCAGAATCCGGAAACATTGCTTTGAAAAGCTCTTTGGAATGATCCGAAACAGAAAGTGGTAGATTATGTTCAATTAAAAAACGAACAAAATAGCATTTGGCTTTTATAGGATCTGTTTCATCATCTTTTATTAAGAAATTTGTTATTTCATTAGATTTTACGGTGCCAAGTTCTATATGCTTTTGAGAAAACACATGCCGTTTTACAGTCATCTTTTCCGCCATGAGCCAACTGAGAAGTCTTTGTTGTTGCATACACTGCAGTGTGCGTGATTCACAGAAATTTCGGACGCTTTAATGCATGGAAATTCTGAAGAATATGAATCTTTAAACTTCTGCTTTGATAATTTTGGCTTCTTCGTTCGAGGCAGCATTATGATTAAAAATCTTTCACCTGATTCACAGTTCACAAGACACACGCTAAGCTCTCGCTCTCGCCGTAAACTACACAATGCAGCCGAATGCAGCCTAAACACGCATCAGCGAGGAACCTGGGAGACAGACAATTGGGTGGAACTATTGATAAGTCGTTAACGGTTGGAGTTACTGATCTACGATTGGCTAATTCCTCAAAATTAGGAACGCACTCAACACGTGATATATGATAACACGAGTATTCAGCCAATCATCGGATGAATTAGTTGGTTCCGTTTGGCGTGCTGGTTCTCCTGCTCTTGTTTCTGTAAAATCCATAGTTTTTTCCATACTTTTTGTAGCTTGTAGTTTTTCATGAATTTCCGTAGAAACTACGGAGAATCCGTAGTAGTTGGAGTCTATGATATCATACTTACCAACTTAAGACTCAAAAATCACGAGATTTTTTAATAAATCAAGATGTTTATCTCAACAGACTTTTTAAATGATAAAAATATTTTTTAATAGTGAATTAACTTTAAATAATTACTAATTAATATCTGAAAGTTCAGTTACTAAGTCTTAAATGCAAACAGTACAAAAATACATACATGTAAAAAAGCATTTTTATTGTTTGCATCATTTAACAAAAAAAAAAAAACTTTAATCAGTTTTTGTACAAATGCTAGGACAGTGGCAGATTTTGTTTTAAGAAGGAAACTTGATCATTTTATTCATACCAACTGCCACAAAGGCTTGCTTTAGCTAATAAAAGTTTTTCCAATGTGCCATTTCTAATACCAGATCTAAATTTAGTCCTTATTTTAGACCAAAAATATCCTTTTGCACTCTGCATTACTACTGGGAATTGTCAGGATGGCAAACATTATTGTAGTCAATTCACTGTATTTTAAAATTCAATCAGCAAGTTTTCTAATTAAATTTCATCAGGTGTCAAACCTAGCTGATTTTATAACTGTCCAAGTTTTTCTAATTGTAAACTGTAAAATTTTGACTGCAATTTAACATTTGCAAACAAATATATATATATATATATATAAATAAATAAAAAAACACATTTGCTAAGGCAAAAATATTTGCAATTTTAGCATATAAAATCACTTTAATCATTGATGGGAAATTTATGTAGTATGTAATCACATACTTGGTAGAAGTAGCTTCTAACATGGAAATGTTTATTAAACTGATTTAAGAGCAATAAATTAATTTACTAATAACTTATTATTCTTAAACATAGCTAAGTGATTTAGTATAAAATTCATTTAATTTAAAATGCATACCATTGGTAATAATTCACAGTAGTAACATTATGGTAAGAAGTTTCTAATGCAATATACTGTACTTTATACAAAATCCAGTTTTCTATAAGACAGTAACTTATGTTAAATAAAAAGAAAAGCTTATATATACAAATATTTCATACTAAAGACTATCTGGAGTAAAACTGCCTAAAATTAGAATAAACTAAAATAACACAAACATGCATATGAAAAATTATTTTACTTTATTTCAAATACTTCTACATAGTTTTTTAATCACAGTTTATTAAAGGCAGCTATATCCACACTTTGAACCTACAATGAAATAAAATCAATTCAGAAATTATAATACGTAACAAGAAAAACATTTAAAATTTCCAAACTTACAAAGCAGACATTCTCTAATACACTAAAGAGAAGTGAGGAAAATTCACATTAAATAATTCAAATCTTTCACATGTACACTAGTAAAATTTATTTCCTATTAACATAGCAATTAAACAGATATCTGCATCATATTTAGCACAACTTTCATCTGCATTTGTCAGTTTGTGTAAATCAATATAGTTTTCATACAACAAATATTTTTAACACAAGTTCAACAAGAAAAGCAATGCAGAATAATTTAATGGAATAAACTCAACTGACTTATGCAAACCCTCACAACTTTGAAAATGAACATGGTTAGGACTTCAGAATAAACACAGGTTTTATATACATAAAGCAAATTTTTTCTTCATCCTATTCTGAAAATCTTGCAAATTAGAGGAAAATGAGATGAAAATAAACTACATATAAATGCTAGCATAAAAGGTAAGTCCCTTTCTGATAATCAGCCCTCACTTGAAAAAAAAAAAAAAATTGCCAATTGTTGAAGACTAATTTTTCATTCTGTTAAGATGCAAAAGACAATAGTTATTTTAAAAAATTGTGATACACTATGCAACTAATTGACAAAACGAAAAATGCAAGAAACGAGAATAAAACAATTATCTTTTGTGATTCCCTATGTACACAGCAATATGCTTTAGCTTTGAAAACATTTAAGAATTGCAGAAACTCAGCATTATGCACAACTTTGGCACTTCACATACAGCGATTCTGCCTACGCACACAATGAACTGTTTTCACTTTTAAAAAAATCATCAGAAATGCAGCACTACAAATAGATTTTGAGCCACACAATTTAATCATTTAAAAAGTACAGCTACATAGAATATGAATTTTTGCATTCTCCATTGTTAGCAAAGCACATTTCTGAAGAAATGCAATGCTTTCTTTTTAAACAGCCAGCAAACTCCACAGTCCCATCAAGATTCTTTAACACTTCACCCAGAAAAAATAGCGAAATTCAACAAAAACAGCATTAATCAGAAAAATTGCAGTCGAATTGGAAGGCAGAAAGCAGTTCACATCTACTGCATGCGTATACAAACTTAGGTCCCCACATAAATACATTTTGGCAACAGAGATTCAAGCTTTGACATTATCAAGACCTTATTTTTCACATGTAACACTAGCAGTACAATAAATTATTAGCTCTGACACACTTTTAAAATTCCATAACCTTAACAAGTTGTTTGGTCACTAATGTGATTTAAATTCATTTTGCAATAAGATTCAAGTTATTTAACTATTTACAATATGATTATAACATAAACTATTGATATTTCATAATATTCTAGATTTTCTGTTCACCGGCTAGTTTAATTTTTTAATTTTCTTATGCTTTTATACTGAGAAAATTCTAGGCAGGGCAAGAAAGCTTTAATTTATCACAGTATTCTTAAATATAAGAAATAAAATTATTTACATTTCATGTTTCGTGTCCTAAATGTGCATTATAACTTTATATATTTATGTAAAAGTATTAAATACAAATATTTAATTAAGCATCTGCTTGAATCTTTACAAATGTCAACAATATGATTAAGACAATTCAGATCATATAAAATTTAATTGGAAAAAAACATGTTGAATATCTAGGGATGGGGGAGTGAAATTTGCACAATTTAACCTTCATTAATTCAATAAAAAATTGGCAAAATTGTATTTGCACAATTAATTTTGTTGCAAAAAAAACTGTTACTAGTAAAGATTAAAAATTTAAAAAAATTAGGATATTTGGTCATTTACTAATTGCACAATTAATTTTGTTGCAAAAAAAAAAAAAAAAAAAAAAAAAACTGTTACTAGTAAAGATTAAAAATTGAAAAAAATCAGGATATTTGGTCATTTACTAAGAAGGCAGAAGATGTGTCCGAAAAACTGGAAAGTTGGCAGCTATGAGATAGGAATAGCATCTATTCAGCTTCTCTTAAGTCTAAGAGAAGAATAATTGGCTGTAAGCTCTTCAGATTTACTGAGAATTTCCCCAATTTACTAAACAAGGAAATTTTGCTACTGAATGCAGACAAACAAAGAGCAAGTGTTTATTTAAATGGCTAGCTTCAAGTTAAGGATGAAAAGATCATACACCTGCATAGCTACTCTTAGGTTATGATATCATGTAACATTATATTTCGTTTCAAGATACTATAAATACACAACATTTTCATTTTAATTCAAGATGCTATGTTTCGAAGATATGGACAAAAATACTGTGTGCACAGAAATAAAATGGATCTTTTAATATTTCAAAAATTATTACTAATGGGCAATGGCCACTCTATGTAACTATAAACTTATCACAGCTCGACTAAATAAATATAGGGAATATTTCCGAAATAACAATTGATCGTTTCTAGAGCATATTTTGAACAAATTATACAAAATCATTGTGCTTCATGCCGTACACATGTATTACATGCAATCTACAAACAGATTACGGTACTTTAGATGAGTGAAAGACCTGGTTGTAATAACCTGTACATTCTACATAGAATCTTTAGGAAATAAATTTTCAGAGGACAAATTTATCTACTTTTGGAAAATAAACATCATTCAGGCTTTTATCAACAACCTATTTCTAATTTTAAAAAAAGTTATCATATAGCACTTTCAAATTCAGAACCTGCATATTTACTTGAAATCCAAATAACTTACCAAATCCTCAATATCTTGAATAGTTTCTTGAAGCCAGTCAACACTAACTTTATCATCTTCTACTATTGCAATTATTTGCAGTTTTTTAATTCCATACGCCAAGGGTACAAGTTTACCTAGGCGGAGAGAAAGAACACTTGATACAGTCTTCTAAATGCACACAAATTTAACTGCACACAATTTAGTAACAAAGATTTCATGAAAACTTCAAAAATATTTATGAAAAGACCCTTTTAAGTAAGCTTTCATAGTCATAATAAATTGTTATGTTTACTTATTATGAATATTAGACATAAAAATTTAAAATAATTTTTTACTTTTTGTCAAACACTCAGCATCCTAAACCCTTAGATTTAAAAATGTCAAGTTTCATTTATGATGCATTAACACATCTTCAAAAACATAAAAGCTTCCAGCTGTTATCTTGAAAATAGGCTTCCAGATTGAAAGCTGAGACTCATTTTCTAGTTACAGAAATTTTCATTTCCATATTTAAAAAATGAATTGTACAGGCAAATGAATAATTACACAGCTGTCAACCTTTAAACATGAAAACCCAGAAGTTTGTGGTAGGCTCTCGCAATTCACTGTTTACTGTTTCTTATAAATTCCGAAGTATAACCACACAATACTGACAGTCATGTTTCAGGTTATATACGTTTCTAATGTAAAATATACTAATATTTAATTAAATACACTGAATTTGTTCTAAAATGTTCTTTGGCTAATTACATTTTGCAAATTTCTTATACTTTCATACTGGAAAAAACATACATAAAAAAAAATGAAATTTTTTATTTGTTACTCTTCATGTACTTTTTAATATTATAATTATGTACTTAACTTACTAATGCACCATTCATTGATGTAAAACAAAATACAAGTATTAACAGATTAAATGGTGGTTGAATCTTCATAAAATTTCTAAAAATCTTTAGAGTATAAAACAAAGAAGATTTTCTTTGAACTCTAAACTTTACACCACAAAATATACATGAAACTACTCGTATAGAAATACGTTCATCCTCACATTCTTTTGTTCATAAGACATTTTGCTTGCTCTCTGTTCACGAGAGAGTTTTTGCAATAGAAGAAAAATACTTCACAACTGTCATGTAATAGGTGCAAAGTCCCAGGAAACTTCTTAGCTAATGGACATTTTGGTGGGGTCCTCAAGCTTTAATTGCTGACACTACTTTGTATACATATAAGCATACAGAATGTATAAAAATGTTCGTTATTCCTTTTTTGCTAAAAAAATTAAATAGGCTAAATCAAAATAATCACACAAATTTTTATTAAAAAAAATCATTACTTACTTGCACCCCATTTCAAACCTTCTGTTTCAATCTTACGGACAGCTTTCTCCATTTCTTCCATATCTGTTTCATCATCCCATGGTTTAACATCTAATACAACACTTGATTTGGCAACAATGGCTGGCTCTGTCATAAAAAATGTATGTGAAAATAAAGGATTTACACTTAACAAAAAATATGACATAGAATTCTAACTGACTTAAAATAAAATACAATGAAAAACTATTTCTGAACAGTAACCTTTTATTTAAAATGGATATGATAATAAACACTAAAAGGAGAAAAATAGTTTATCATATAGTTAGCTTAATGGGAATAAAAGTTTTAAATAATTGCATTTAGAAAATTTATCACAATTTTATACTGCAGATAATAAAAGTACAGGGCATCCATCCAAAAATAATTTTAAAAAGATAATGCCTTACACATTTGAAAATAGAAGTAAAATAATAAATTTTGTTATTCAGGCACCGCATGCTTTTATTATTTGTGATATAAAACTGTAGATGAATTTTTGTAAATAGAATTATCTAATCTATTTTTTCCCATTAAATTACACAATAAATTATATTTTCTCCTTTTTTGTGCTTTACTAAAAGGAGAAAATTTTCTATATTGATTTTAAATAAAAGCTTTTAGTGTAAAAATCTGTTTTAATTGTATTCTAATTTGTGTTCTTTAGTCTCAATTACACGTTATGAATGGTGAAATATTTTATCATTAAAACACGAGCAATAAACTATGAGAAAATTGTGAAATAATGGAAAATAATTGAATGCCATTCACAGAATGAAAAGAAATTGCTTTGAATATTCAGCTTCAAAAACTGGATGTAATAAAAAATATTACCATATTTGCCGGCATATAAGATGCACTTTTCCCTTTGAAAATAGGTCGGAAGAACAGTCATGTGTATATAATGGTTTTTTATTATTTGCGATTTTTTTCGACTTTCCTTGCGGAGTGTGGAAATATAAAGGGCCATTCCCACTGAGTTTTATCTGAGCTAACATGGACAACTAACGTAGCCAACTCATCTCCAAAATTAGTTTTTCCCCATAGGGCAGCAAGCTGAAAATTCTAAACTGCAAGTATAGCAGAGCTAGTCGACACATGGAACTGAATCCATTAGCTCAGATAAACCCCAGTGGGAACGGCCCTTTATAGTTACGTAAAATTCAGTGAATGCACTGCCATCGACGATCTCAGTTAGGTTCACTTAAACTTTCCAATTTTTTGTGAACAACTTTTAACCCTTGGCCTGTCGAGTGATTTTCTGCGAATCCCTTTAAAACTGCTGCTAGTTTTGGACCGAACTTCCCGTAAAATGTCGCGAAAATAACCCTAAACCTCTGAAAATTTTCAGGCAGTTCTTTTGTTATTTCGCATCCCTCCCGAATTTTACTTCAATGATTCCGCTAAGTGAGATTGATTACTAGATATTGTACCGTAGATGTGAGGTGTCAAGAGAATTGCAAGACTAGAACATCTGTGATGCCCGTCTCATTGCCAGAGGGTACAGCTGCAAAACTTAAAAGTTTACTTCCCTAATAACAAACAAAGCAATGTTGGTTGTTACCTAAAACAATCTTATTTTCAAATAATATGGTTTTAAAATTTACGAGGTTAAATTATTATGCATTTTTAATCTAAGTAACCTAAATCTGCTTGTCACTGATTATCACCTGAATTTCAATGCAGACTGATTAAACTGCTATCACTAAATTCTATTCAGACAATATCTGATGCAACTTTCATTCCTTCTGAGATATTGCTGAAGCATTTCATATTATTTCTGATTTTCTCTATTTTTGTCATTAATTAAAAATCTTTAAAACTTTCAACATTTTCCTATGTTCTTTAACTGCATGCAAATAATATTTTAAATAATTTCTTTTTGCCTTTATTATGTAGTCTTAGGAGTAATTAACGAAACATTTGGGTGTTATTTAAGGGCTGAGATGGTGATAATATCAATATTAAATTTCCATTTTTATTTTTTAACATTCAAGTTATTCAGAAAGGGAATTATAACCTGAAACTGTTTTTAGTGTATCATAACTTTATTGACTCAATTTAAAAATTCTTGCATTCCTGTCCAAGAAATACTACTAAACTTTATCTGAAATAGGAAAGATGAAACATATTAATAACAAACAAAGCAATGTTGTTACTCATTAGCTTACAATATAATTTGTCCAGTATGGTATTTTTGAAAAGAAAGAGTGTTGCTATACATTTGGTAAAGTATAAATCAATCATCATCAATCAAAAATCAATAATTGCATTTAGAAACATTGATGCATAATAGCATCAACGTGAATAATGAACGCAGATTATAAAAATCAGAATTCATAAGAAATAATTGCTTAGAAATTTTTTTAATCACTGTAGAATTGCATATCTTTTTAACTGCAGGATAAACACGTCAATATTTTTCAGAAATCTTAGTAACCAGTTACAACTTTTGTACATAATCTAACACCAATTTTAAAGAATTTACTCTCATTCAAAATATGTCCACAACTCAGGCTTATATCATCTGTTTATTCCATACTGTGATGAAAGCAAAAATTTAAGGCACGCAAAAAGCAAAATTTAAGGCAAGCAAAAAATAACTATCACCTTATGATACTACTACAGTAAAAAGTCTTTAATCCGGAATGATCTATAATCCGGACATCAAAGCTACAAACTTTCTGCGCGGGATGCATTTACAAATGTGCATCATACCTTTACGCATGCGCGTTTTTGAATGCGCATAATACGTTTACACATGCGCGTTTAATGTATAACAAACGGTATAAGCTACGCTAAAATTATCTATTTCAGTCAATGTTGCAGATTGTGTTGTTCCTTAATCTTCTAATTGGATCCAGCTTATTATTTTTTGCAGACTGTTAGAGCAATTTTATAAATGTAACCTTGAACTTTCGATTATGTCAAAAAGAATTTCCGATTCTGGAGCTGCCAAAGGATCTACGAAGTGAATGAATGTTTCAATGTCTGTCTAACAAAAAGTGGAATTGCTGCAAAAAAATGGATAAAGGCATATCCTTTGTTTCTCTAACCATTCTGAAATCTGTTTACCAATTTCACGCTACTCTGCGGAGAGGGGGGGGGTCGTGCAATGAATTGGAAGTTGATCTGTCAGCACTATCCTTATCTTCAAGGCAGATGTTTTTATTTTATTCAGCTTATAATTCCTTACTAAATGTAGTATTTCATCTCGATGTACTCCATCTTTGATACGATTTAAATCAAATTCCTCGTCATTATAAATATCACAAATAGTTTTCTGGCTGCAGTTTTCTAATTTCGACTATGCATAATGTTATGCTTTACGCATGCGAGCGTTGAAAGAAATGTTTAATAAAGTAAGCAAATAAATATTAAGCTTTTTTTTTTGTAAATTTTGATACCCTTTAGATCATAATTGCTCTTTATTTCATAAATTACGGTTTCATATTTTTAATTTTATAATTTCTGCATGCCATCTTACCTGATTTAAACTGATGATCTATAATCCGGTAAAACTGATAATCCGGAATCGCTAAAGTCCCTACGAGTCCAGATTAAAGACTTTTGACTGTATTAGTTTTTTTATTTCATAAGACAAATACCCAAGTCATATAATAATTACAACTATACAGATCATGGTGTCCTGAACTCTAACCCCCTTCTATTAAATAAAATTTTATTCCTAATAACTTCCTCTAACATATCAAACAAATGGTAACACACAAATGTTAAAAAAATTAGAAAAATGAATGACTGAATATGAAACAAAACTGAATAATGTGGATGTGAATATATGGAATACAACAAAGCACTGAAAAATTAAGCAACTGCAAAGGAAAAATTTAACTTAAAAAAACTACACTGAAATTTTTATTAGGGACAGCTGTCTGACAAATGCTGCCACTAATTGTGATCATAGTTACCACTTATTATAATCACTAATTTGTACATTTTAATCAAACTATTAAATATTCACTCATTATATATAAAAGCAATCCACCATTTATTATAATAAACAAAATATTTAATACGATGAAAATGTAACAATTTTCTTTCACTCAACTAATATATCAACAAATTAAAAAAGTTACCTAATAATAACATTAAAAAGAATAGAAGTTTTTAACAAATTAGTTTTGAAATGTCATAACTAACTAAAGAATACATCTTAATTACTTGGGACCTACTGCAATTTAGATATCTTTGATTCTTTCAGTTTTATTAGCTTGTTCAAATTCAGATTAATCTCTTGTTAACAGATGATTTTAGTTGATGTATAATTAGTTTTGAATAACAGTGACAGCTGTCTGACAAATGCTGCCACTAATTGTGATCATAGTTACCACTTATTATGATCACTAATTTGTACATTTTAATCAACTGAGTGATGAAGTATTTAAGTCATCTCCGAGATTAGATTTTTCTTAGAATGTTACTTTTACATGTCATTTGTTATCATTAAATCTCTAGGGTAAGAATCACATATGATAAGGCAAATGTTTGTCATGTTGCTACAAAGAAGCTATCACACTGTGACACGGTTAGGTCAGGTTATTTAAATACTGAAAGGCACATGATGGCTAAGGAAAAGGTTGGTTTGGCTGGTCTGATAATGTCAGAGTGTGTGAGCACTACCTGCTTAAGAAAGAAGATCAATTTGTAGAGAACTTTCTAAGGAAAACTGACTCATACATGTAATATTACATTCTGAATTATACAAGGGGAATAAAAAAATGGCCATTTAGCAAGCCCATTTGTCAGGATTTGAACCCAGGTTGAACTACCACTGTTTAGAGAATGTACTGATTAACTGCTAATGAACATATCTATAGCAAGTGGTGTCTTTGTGGAGGACTTCCTAAAGGAAACTGAATCACATTCATGCTATGCAAGGAGGAAATCAAATCATGAAATCAGTTCATTTGCCAGAGTTTAAATGCAGATTGAACTACCATTATTATGTAGTCTTAAGCATTTGCCAATAGTGGGGCTCACACTGTGACAAAGAAGCTGTGAAAGGATACCAAGAGCCAAACATGTGATAAAACATCTTTTCCATTAAAAAATATATTTATAACTGAATAATGAGAAAAATGACCATATAAGAAATATATGAAATAACTGGTTTTAAATTAACAACTCAGTTTACTTTCCCAATTCAATTAAACAGTGTTTTATCAAAAACAAAAATTTTCACTCTGAAAACACGGACATCAAATTTTAATATACGTAAATATGTAGAATGTCCATCTATTTAAAGAAACAAGATATCAAATCGTTTCCATTGATTCAAACATACTTTTTGCTTTTTTATTCTCATATGCTTTCAATCTCTCCTCATTAACCCAATTTTCTTCTTCAGATTCCTATACAAAGGAGGAAGTAAAAAATCACAATATAATTTTCATTCGTGCTTCATACAATGACACATATCTTTCCTTAATATGTGGATTTCAGACAATCATTACACTAACACTAAAAAGATTCATGGAAATCTACATAATATATACCTATGACTATTACAAGTTCAACATGGACAAATTTAAGAACAATTATATATCAAAAGTTAAAATTTACTTTCAAGAAAATAAACAAGACTTATTTACGATCAACTAAAATAATCACAGAAAATTAAACCCAACAGTTTTTGATGTAATTGCTTTACAGTAAGGTTGCAGCAGCTATAATTTATATGTAATAAACAGGAAATGCACCACAAATATGTGTGAAATGATTGATTAGGATGCACAGTTTTACATTCTAACCTCTGGCTATGCAACTTTTAAATCTTACATACAGATTAGCATAACAAATCGGACAAAGTCTAAAATACTTAAATTTAACTACTTCAAAAACATGGTACTTATATAATATCTGGAAACAAAACTGATTCATAGAACAAGTAATGTGATAAATCATCAAATGCGGCACACATGTTAAACTAAGAAAAAGACTGAAAAATTCATGATTGACTATAAAATGTTCAAAATCCAGCTGTTTCCTAACTTCATTGAGCAGATTCCCTAGGATCTGTCATTATATACTTAAGGAAGGAAGCTTTTGTTAACTTCTTGGGCTATACCAACCTACATTGTTGCAAGGTATAAGGATATATTATTCTAACACAAAGTAAGCCTTTATTCACTTTGATAATCAAATTTGGCACCTTTTGCATACCTTTCTCTAATAATGCATGACCATTTTCAAGCACAGAATTATTTCCATCTAAAACAGTGCTTTGACACTAGGATGGTTTTCCCATTGTTTAAATTTTAAAAGGGTTACTAATTTGGAGATTTTTAATCTTGCATGTATAAACAGGCATGGACAAAAATCACTTGCACCCAAGTGACAGTTATCTGTTCAGCACATTATGACAAAGCATACAAGGGCTATCCACCTATAGGAAGGAATTGTGGCTTTGTAAGTGGACTTCAGGAAAATCTCATATTCACATTACACATTACACATGATGAAAACCATCCATGCAATCACCATGTGAACCATCCATGCGACCCAACGTCCAGGATTTGAATTTGGCTATGATTACCAGTGTTCAGTGATCTTATCCATTCAGTTAGTGGTCAGCCACCAGCTAATACAGCACCACCAAAGATATAAACCTTTAATTAGAATGGTGACGGATCCAGGAATTTAAGAATTCACATTTTATCTCATGATTTCACTTGGGGGGAAGATCTTGCATATTTTCTACAGGCAACAATGTTGCAAACAGTTTTTAAAGAACAATTAAGCTAAATACTGTTTAATCAAAATTTTAATCTGTAATGAAAACTGGGTCTATTTCTGTAATCTTTAAATACAAAAAAGGGGGAGGGGTAGAAAAAGAAAATGGACAACTTAAGTTTCAATGCTGAACCTGCTGCCTCAAAAATAAGCAGCTGATTTGTTGGTGGAATTTCAAGACAATAATCCACTAAGAATTCATTTAGAACAACTGTTTTGTTTATGAAATACCGCAATTTGAACAAATGGGTTGGATATATGCTGTTCTGAAGCAGAAGTACTAGCACTGGTGAAAAATTACTTTCTCCTAAAACAAGAAAATATTAAACTTCATATTCTTGCATGCCCCCTCCAAAAAAAAACTTTAGGAATCTGATTTGATGCCATATGCAACATCTAGCCTAAACCTTGCATTATCAAATTATTTGTTATAATGCATCACTTGTTTCTTTTACAAATGGCACTTTCAACTAACTACCTGCAAGGTTTGAAATCTGGGATAAAGTTCTTCAAGGACGAAAGTGGGCGTTGTTGTCACATTAAAGACTGACTGAAATATGGCTTAAAGTAACACAGCACAGTGGATTACACAGCATAATGGATAGTAACACAGCATATTTATTATACTCAAATGTTGTGCAGTTTTCTTTGTAAAGTTACACATTACAAAATGTGATCAAATTAAAGCAAATCTTTTTTTCAGACATTTTATATCAGCAAAAATGAAAATTCATGTGTAACAAATTCAAATAATGAAATAACTTACATAATTTTACTAGATGATAAAATTACTTACATCACCAGATCCAAAGAGATCTATATCATCATCATCATCATCATCATCTTTTGCAGGCCCATTATGAACATTCCTTTCTGCACTGGCTTTTACTTTCTTTGAGAAAAATATTACATATATATAAATAATACTTCTAGGATGTTATTTAATCTATTTTAGAGAATTATAAAAATAAATACCTGGCTAGAGTTGCTGGATTCTGGATCTTTTAAGACGTTTAAAGCATTTTCAAGTTCTTCGAACTTGTTTAAATGTGAAGTCAGTTGTGAAAAAAGGCTTCCTAATTCTAAAAAGAAGAAAATAAATACAGGAAAATTAAAATAAGACTTCTTTCATACAGGAAATACAAATGAGTTTCTTAAAAACATGTATGCATAGTTATCCCGCACTGTATGAAAGTTTGCTTGGTGCCACTTGGTTTCTAGAAATCCAGAGATGACTTCATTTTAAGATGGTATGGAGGAAAAATTCAGTACGTGTTTACCGCTAGGATTACAATATATAACTTCAGTTGTTAAAACATGCAGGATAAGGTCATTTCTGATGGCTGATGAAAAATAGAACAAAAAAATTCAACAATCAAGCATAATATTGCATTTCAAGCCTTTAAGATCAACCAAAACAAATAAATCTAAATTTTGGAGGATATGTCAGAAAAACATAGAAACTCTTCTAGATGTAAAAACATGATACAAATAGCAATGAGATATCAATGGATGATCTTTTTTCTCACTTTCTTACAATGTAGTTATTTTCCTTTACCTATTATACCTTAATGTTTACTCACACAGTTTAATGCACTAAAATTGCTGCCACCATTTTTGAGCCTGTCAAGTGTTTTGGCTGCCTAATTTTGAAAAAAGATACTAGACTATATGTGTGTTGTTTTATATTTAGACTGTATATTTTTTTATAAATGTGCTAAAATTTTTTCACTAAGAATAAAAAAAATAAGCACTTAAGAGAAAAAGTAAGCACCTATAAGGACCTTCATAATTTATTTTCAAATATAAGAACTTATAAGCACTTATAAGGACTGCTACACACCCCGGAGAGTAATGACTTTGGTGTGTACAAATACTGCAGGAACGAATAAAAGATTCGTAATCAGAAAAAATACACGAACTCAGGCATTTAAAGATTTCACCTGTCATCTATCACTGAAATAAAAGAGCATGCATGATATAAACATAAATAAAAGATTGGTCTGAAAATCATTTAATACCTGAAGCTCAGCAACATTTGAAACTGGTTGGTGCAAAAGATATGAGAAAACTGTCCTCATTGTGTATCAATTTACAACTCTTACTTCACATAAAATTTCAGCAGAAGATAACATTGCCTTCTAATTCTTTCCAGCAAAATGTACGAGGGCTATCCAGAAAGTAGATTACGTTTTGGAATAAAAAAATAAACAAAGTATAGGAAACAAATTTTATTATATACAGATGAAAGCCACACTCAAATACTACTTTTCTACATAGTCACCATACAAATTAAGGCATTTATCGTAGCGATGTACGAGCTTGGAAATTCCTTCGTCGAAAAATTCGGCCGCCTGCGCCTTCAACCACTTCGTTACCTCTTCTTGCCTTCCATCTTGCACAAAACTTGTGGTAACCAAGCTTTTCGCTGATGATTTCGTGCAACAAACTTCGTGAAATTTGTGGAAAACTCAAAGAAAGTTCCGTTATTGTGAAATTTCGATTTTCACGGACTTTAGCATCGACTTTTTCGAGAAGTTCGGCGGTCACTATGCTGGGTCTCCCACTTCGATCTTCGTCGTGAACATTGGTTCGGCCATTTTGAAATCTTATGACCCACTGACGCACTCCACCTTCAGTGATAATGTTGTCCCCATACACTTCACGAAGCTGCCGATAGATTTTTATCGGTTTACAGTTTTTTGCAGTCAGAAACCTTATTACTGAGCGCACCTCGCAGCTCGCGGGATTTTCAATTAACGCAGACATTTCAAACCGTCACAGTATCTGAACGGAGCACAGCACGAACCTCTCACTAGCACCGCTAGATGCAGACTGAGCTGCGCAACGCTCTGACCCCAAGATGGCCGCGCTAGCCCCGCCCCTAGCGGACACAGACGGAAACGTAATCTACTTCCTGGATGGCCCTCGTATATTCATGATTCTGCTAAGTAGATATCTACATGTATTTCATGCAAATATAAAGCTATACCAAGAGTTCCAAAGCTTTTTCAAGCTGCAAGAGTGTAGCACACTTATACGTTTGTTAGTTTTTCACAATACCTCGGTTGCAATATTACTACTATAACGCTAATCAAGCACAGAAATGAGAACATTTTAGTGAAAACATATAATAATTTTAATTGATAAGAAAACATACAAATCAAATAAAAAATAAAAGAAACCTTCAGTGGCAAATTAGGAAGTCAATGTGACAGGTCAGCTTGTTGATCTCCACACAATTTTTCAAATCGTGGAAAAAGGCTTGCTACAGCTGTTTATATTTTTTGTTCCTCACTGATTTTCAAGTGATATTTTGTCTTTATAACAGCGACGGCTGAAAATCCAGCTTTACATAGATAGGATGTCACAAAGGAAATTTAGTACTCAATTTTGATTGAAATCCAAAACTACATTAAATCTGAGTAAGCAAATTTTATTTTCAGACTGTTTTCGCAAGATACTTCAGTTAAACTCTGTTCATCTCCTGAAATAAAGTCCTGGGGAACTTAAGAATGAAAAGGATTTTGGATCAATGTAAATTTCTTGCATATCTTCCTCAAAGAATTTTGCAAACCAGTCAGTGAGCTAGCAATTCCTTTCTAAGAGCGAATTTAATAGAAATTGTGTACTGGCGCAATGCTCAAAAACAATTTTGAGCATGTCATTCAATTTTTCTTATCCACAACTGGAGTTTTCTTTTAAATGCTGAAATCTCCACGTAATTTTTCAAATCGTGGAAAAAGGCTTGCTACAGTTGTTTATATTTTTTGTTCCTCACTGATTTTCAAATGATATTTTGTCTTTATAACAGCGACGGCTGAAAATCCAGCTTTACATAGATAGGACGTCACAAAGGAAAAGTAGCACTCAATTTTGATTGAAATCCAAAACTACATTAAATCTGAGTAAGCAAATTTTATTTTCAGACTGTTTTCGCAAGATACTTCAGTTAAACTCCGTTTATCTCCTGAAATAAAGTCCTGGGGAGCTTAAGAATGAAAAGGATTTTGGATCAATGTAAATTTCTTGCATATCTTCTGCAAAGAATTTTGCAAACCAGTCAGTGAGCTAGCAATTCCTTTCTAAGAGCGAATTTAATAGAAATTGTGTACTGGCGCAATGCTCAAAAACAATTTTGAGCATGTCATTCAATTTTTCTTATCCACAACTGGAATTTTCTTTTAAATGCTGAAATCTTTTCTAGAAGACTCAAGATGCCCATATCATGCCCTGTAGGTTCAAGACATTTATTTTGTCAAATATGTCGGTCACATTGATGTTTGTTTCACCAAAATGTCTAGTGATTGATCACACGACCTTCCTCTTGCAGAAAAGTGTGAATTTCTTGATGCAGCTGATGCGCAAGGCAAGATGTTGTGATGCAAAAGCCATCCTGAGCTGCAAGAGTATAGCAAAGATATGTATTCAGAGGTAGTAACTATGCTATTCAGAGGGTTAAAAACTAAAAAGATGTTTATAAATGCTTTCAGTTATAATAGCTTTCATATCATTATACCTGAATAACCAAATTTACATCTAACTGAAATAAGGATAGAAAACCATTTTTATGCACTTTTTGTAAAAAAATTTTATTCCTCATCAATTCAGCATAAATGTAAAAAAATTATTGTACTAACGTTTCCTGAATTTTTCTGATTCTTCTTCTAACTTCTCTACTCTTTTCAAAAGTGTCGAGCTCTGATCTTCCAAACTTCCAACATCAGTCTATCAAAAATCAGCCAAGATTTAGAATAAAATAATACATTAAATATTTACAAGCAAGAAAATTTACCAATGAATGTCTGGGACTAAAGAAATTCTATAATAAAGCAGTCTTCCTTAATTATAATTGGTATTTCAATCAACTTGCATATTTAATGATAACTTGCTCTTTAAAATAAAATCGGGAACAAAATATTACAATACTTTCAGATATAAACTATGATTAGTAAAAACTTATATAAACTTAACAGTTTAAAATATAGACCAGATTAAAATTTTCAAATGGTATTCTATCATAAATTCTGTGTGTGAATTCACAATGTATCTTTAGCCTCTGTTTTGATTAAAATGAAAATATAAAATAGGCTATTCATGCATAGACACTTACAAGCATTTTACTCACTACAGTTGGTACACACAGACTGGTTACAGTAATATCACAATCTAAAAAAATATTTTTTTTAAGAACTTGTAGACATTATGTAGTTTTCTAAAGCAGGTGAGATGAAAAATGAGCAACGCCTTCGCCGGGACTCAAATCATGGGCCTCGCGAATACGCACCGAGTGTGCTGACCTCTACTCTACAAAGGCATGCTAAGAAGGTGGGAGAAATACTTTATATACTCCCCCTTTTAAAAGGCAGCTGGAGATTAGGGGACCCTATCACCAAATCCTGGTGGTGGAGAATCATACACCACCCTTTTAGTTCGGGCGTCACTGTAATGTCATTAGGTTATTTTGAAGCTGGAGACATGAAAAATGAGCAATGCCTTTGCCGGGAATCGAACCACGAGCCTCTCAAATATGCGCCGAATGTACTAACCACTACACTACGAAGGCATGCTAATAAAACTAAGTGAAAATACTCTAGGGAATAATTAAGAAGTGAAGAATACTCTGGAATATACTAATCTCCTTGGAAAAATTGCAACAAGAATAAAGGAGCATTTTGATACATGTGTCACGTTTATCGATACATTATTTATATTATGGCCTATTTATTAGCCTTTAAGCCACAGGGGAAAGGCAAGTTCAATGACATAACTATATGCAAGCATGCCTTGGTTACAAATGAAAAAAAAATGTTCCATAGCTGTTACAGGTTACTGGAATACACTAATCTCTCTGGGAAAACTAAAGTGACAATAAAGGAATGTTTTCCTCCATATGCCACTTTTACTGACTAAAATACTATGGCCTTTATATTAACTTTTATGCAACATGAAAGGCAAGTTCAATGGCATAACAATTGTACGCTAGCACTTTTTGATTACAAATGAAAACAAGTTCCATAACTGTTATAGGTACCTATTTCAGTATTTAGAATGAAAATAACTAGTAATTCTTTGTGAACTAGTACTTCTGTGTTAGTAATAGTGTATTTTACCTTTTTGTATTTCTTAAGGGACTTTTTTTTTTGGAACACTTTTACCACCCAAAATTACAACTACAAATATTTATATTAATGTGTACAGAATATTTAGAAAATAGATGTATACTTTAAAATGAAAAGTACTGAGTAATTTATGTACATTCTGTGAAATAATCTGCGAGAAAAACTAAAAATATTAACACTGCTTTCCATTGTCCATTTCTAAGCCACAAATACACTGGTTATCATAAATTAAGGAAAAATCACAATTACTGAAAAAGTTACATGTAGAATTTTATGAAACTAACCCACAATGTACAACATGTAGTAAGGTATCAAAGAACATAAAAATAAATTACCAGACAATTATGGTAGTATAGAAATTAGCACATGTATAAAATGAACAAATCGAAGGTGTCGGTTTGCTATAGGAAAAGTACCTTCAATATGGAATATGGTTTCCTCTAGAAGCAATACAGCACATACAGCGATGCGTTATGCTTTCAATCATGTGATTTATCAGTTCCAGAGGAAGCGAGAGCCATTGCTCTTGCAAAGCAGTTGCAAGCATGGCAAGGGTGTGAGGGGGTGGATTGAGAGCAGTTAGACGTCTCTCTAAAGCATCCCAAACGTGCTCGATAGGATTCAAGTCTGGAGATCGAGCTGGCCACTCCATGCACGTAATTGTTTCCTGTTGAAGATAATCATCTACAATGCGAGCCCTGTGTGGTCTTGCGTTATCATTCTGTAACAGGAAAGCATCACCTATTGCCCAGGCACATGGGCACACATAAGCATCAAGGATGTCATCTCTATAAACCGGAGCATTCACGGTTTCTGTTGGAAGGACATTGAGGTCTGAGCGTCTACCCAAAGAGATGCCACCCAAAACACAGACACTGCCTCTTCCGTATGCATCTCTAACGGATGTTTGATGGATGATAACGGGTTCCAGGTTCTCTCCATATCAAATAACGCCTACTATCGCTTTCTAGACTAAACCTGGACTCATCCGTAAAGAGAACAGCCCTCCACTGATCAGTCGTCCAGTGAACATGTTTTCGTGCCTACCGCAAACAGTCTCTCCTATGGCGTGACGAGAGCGACACGCAAATGGCTGGTCGTCTCGCATACAGATCACCTTCATGAAGCCTTCTACGCACAAGTTGACGTTGATACCAACCTTCCGGTGGCTGCAGCAAGGGAGGATTTAAGAAGAGTCAGAGCGGTTCTATTCCTTCGCGCACATGTCAAATATCGGTCATCGGTGGTCGTCGTAGCAGTTTGCCGTCCTTGGCTTAACCTCCTAGATACCAAATCTGTGGTTTGAAATCGCCTACAAAGTCTATGAACCACAGAAGGACTCACATTTAGCCATCTGGCCACTTCTGTTTGACTTTATCCTGCCTCTAGTCTCCCAATGGCTCTCCATCGTAGTTCTGCAGGCAAATGATGCCTGGAGGTCATTGTTACGAATTAGCTATCTCAGATTTCTGATGTCACTATCACAGTGAAATATGTGGGCTTGCTCTCAAACATGGACTTTTATTCTCCTCGCAGATGACGTATTCCGAGTGCAGCGCCATTAATTTGCATATTGCAGTTTTACTCAGTTACTATTACTTGGCAACATATTCAAATTTACACGGTTTGGCTTATTTTTGAGGGAGTTATCGACATTTTTGTGATTTTTCCTTAATTTATGATAACCAGTGTATTAAGTTTAGGCGCACTGCTTGGTGCATTCCAACATAAAAAAACGGTAACCAAAAACGTTCTTGCCGTTTCTGATATGACATTGGAACAGTGAACCCCAACATAAATATAGCTGCCAAATCTGGTGATGAAGTAGTTAGGCATTGACCAAGTCCAGACATCGACAAAGAATATAAAAGTGCACTGCATCGGTACTTCAAGCATAACTCACACAGTGACTGATTAAAATGGACGCGTCAAAGGTGCTTGTTCGGAGTTGTTTGATTTTAAAGTGGGCATGTTAGCAGCAGAATCAAGTCCCCGAATTTGCCAGGCCTATGGAGATGATGCCATTAACAAACGAACCGCTAGGTGCAATGGTTCCAGAAGTTCAGGTCAGGGGATATGCCTCTTAGCAATGACCACGCAGAAATAGGTCACAATTGCTGGACGATGAGGCCCTGAGAGCAGCCATAGAGAGTGACAGTAGCCAAACATGTGGTGAGCTTGCTGCACACTTCCAGGTATTTTGATGAAACGATCACACTCCATTTGCACTGCATAGGAAAAGCACACAAGCTGAGGAAGTGGGTACCCCACTCACTGTCCGATGGAAGCAAGGAACAGTGTGTCGGCCTGTTTGTCATTGCTTACTCGGCACCACAATGCATCCAGATTTGATCGAGTACTCACCAGCAAGGAAAAGTGGGCCCAGTATGACACACCCAGGTGTTTCAGACATTGGTTGTCACCATGGGACCCAGCGCCTCACACCGTGAGACCTTCTCCTCATCCACGCAAGATCATGCTCTGTATCTGGTGGACTAATCGCCAAGTTGTGCACTATGAGCTGCTCCCAGTAGGCCACACTATCACGACAGGCCTGTACTCACAGCAGTTGGAATGTGTGCATCAGGAACTGATGCATGAAGAGCCAGCATTGGTCAGTCATAATGGTGTACATGAGAATGAGGGGCTGCATGTGGCTCGGGAGACCAGGGATATCATTCAGCGACTGGGCTGGGAGTCACTACCCCATCCACCATACTCCTGAGACCTCGTGCCAACAGACTACCACTTGTTCCATCCCCTTGACAACCATCTAGGTGGAAAATCCCTCAACAACCGGCCAAACCTCAAAAAAGCCCTCACAGACTTCTTTGTGTCCAAGATTCCCGAGTTTTATCGCAATGGCATTGCACAGCTAGCCACTCATTGGCAAAAGGCATTGGATGCTGATGATTACTTTGAGGGTTAGCAGTAATTATTACTTGTTTTATGACTTTTTCTTTCCGACTGTCCAAATCGGCAGGAACTTTCTTGGTTATCATGTTAAAGCACACTTTACTTGCATTGAGAGCCTGCGTTTCCTGAAAATTATCACTTATCAATATTATTATAAATTATTTAATGGTCTATTTGATTATGGCATTAAGTAATTTAGGCCTATCTGCCTGAGGAAAAGGATGCCTTTGTGGAAGTCTTTATAAGAGAAACTGGCTCATATACTTGCTACACATAGGGAAAATCATAAAAACATATGCAACCAGCCTGTTTGCCAGGATTCAAAACCTGGACCGAACTACTAGTGTTCAGAGACTTTACTGTTTGGCCTCTGGTGTGTGCGTACTTAAGAGAATACCACAAAAATATTTGGTTCTCAAGTAAACATTACAATACTTCCACGACACAATTTCTTCAAAAAGAACTTGCATGTCAGGAACTTTAGTAAGAGTATTGTGTGACCCTATGTGAACATCTTGAAAAGATGCATTTCTTATTAATTTCATTCTACCTTTTTCTATAAAAATTTCATCAACAGAAAGTTTATCCAGTGAGGCAGCTTCCTGTTCAGATTCACTCTGATGGTCACTTTCCCCAGTATTTTGTTTTTTGGTTTGAATCAACTCCCTTGCAATCTGCTTTGATGCTAGCAAAAGCCTTCAATCACTGCTATTTGCATTCACAGCTCATTTTGCAAATCACCACTCCTAATGTAACAACTGAAGTGTTAATAGGTACCATAATGAAATACTCAGCCAAAGTAAGATAGCTTTCTTGCAGAGCGGGCTTACGGTTGCCATAAAATGGCAAAGGAAGGCAGGGTTGCCCTATTTGGTGAGAAATCGCTAATTTGACGACGTATGGCCATATGCCATAGACAGATGGAGAACCTTCTAGAACGAGTTCTTACCAGTTTGGTCTACAATGTTCTTGAATGCAGGCCAAAAGCTATATAATAACTGCCTGTATGCAGAGTAGCAGTGTGTGTTTCATGAGAGTCTTAGTCAATAATGAGTCTATCGAGTGTCTCGTAGTCTATCGATTTTTATTGTCAGTCTACTGTCGAGTTGGTGCATCGTTGCGTGTATTGCGAATTGTAGTGTGGAGAGTCTCTTCGAGAGAGTTTCGAGAACGACTGAACGAGTCGATAGCTGTACTCTAGTGCTTTGCCGTGAAGCTTGTCTTCACCATTATAGCCTGAAGACTGCGTGTTGCTGATTGTTTCAGCAAGTTTCTTGTAGTTTTTCGACGACTGTAAACATGTTTTGGGAGCTGTCCTGAGTAATATTGGCTAATAAACTGTGTTTCATTCTTCATCAAGTGTTGTCATCAATCACTCCAAATCCACCAACCCATGCAAAACTTAACAGTACATAGGGTAAAATCGTTCACACACTATATCCTCTATAAAAAGCAGATAAGAAAATTATTTTGAAATACTTTTCACTGACTATTGGTTAAATTACCTTGAAAGATACATTTATAGCGAGAGGTAATAAATAATGTACTTTTATTTATTTGAAATCCTTTCTGGCAGGTCTAGTTTGTATAGCAAAGACATAAACATATGGGTTCAAAATATACTCTTATTCTTGACTGATTTTACCTCCAAACCTAGTGTTTGAATTATTCTTTCTATAACATATCGCATATTTTACCACGAATGATGATTGACGAACTTGAAATCTAACATGACACTCATCATAATCAATTTAATTCAAACTATATAAACACACCAGCAATTCTCTAGCAAAGAGTTTTCCAGCTACAAGATTGTATACCTATTGAGATATAGGTTTGAACCTTCCCAATTCTATTAAGATATCAAGAATAACCATTTTTCTATTATGACATTACTGTAGCTACCATGCAATGTGTGTAACCAAGAGAAATAATTACCTAGCATCTTCAAACACAACTTTAATTACATATCTGCAATAACTAGCATAATCTTTACTCTGGATATAAGAGCAAAATATCTGCATATTGTCAGTAGTCGGCCATATTTGTTTTTGAAGCAATAAAACTTCTTTAAACAATTCTTTCTGCTTGATCTTTTCAAGAATGACCTCTTATTACCTGTTATTTTTTACAATGGGAAGTTGTGTACCTTGTGTAAATATGAGAACGCAGCATTTATTTGATGACACAGAAAAATGTGCTTTATTTCACACTTTTCTTTCATGCATACTTATTTAATGCTACAGGAAGGAATATTAAATACTGAAAAATAAAACTACACTTGTTAGTTAATTTAAGCACATTTCAATATTCACCTTGATATAATATCAAAGCCACTTATTACCTCCAAAACACATACACCAAAAAAAGCTACTATGATAAACAAAATTATAAAACTTTAGTCTTTGAAATCAATATTTGTATCATAAATTTATATAGAGTTAAAAATTAAAGCTATTCATATGGAGAAACTTAAGATAAAATATATTTTTTAATATCTGTACATTGATACACATGCATACATATACATACATAAAAAAAAGCATTCTACTAATGCAACAGTAACTTTTGCAAGCAAAAGCAAAATCATTACTCACAGATTTTAGAAAATTTTGAATTTTCTGACGAGCATGTGCTATTTCACTAGCCAGTGAGTACTGTAAGACATCCTAGCATGGAAAAAAGAGGACAGGGATGTTATCTCATGCAGCTTATAGTTAATAAGAATCTATTATTATTAGTAAAAGCATGACATTTACTTACACAGTTTTTTTATTAAGGGTTAAGTTTCAGCAAAAATGCACCAGAATAATTAAAACAATATACACCCAATGATTCAATAACCTTTACCACCACTTTACTTACAGCTGCAATAACGTGAATTATTAGTCTGCAGTCCATCTCCCTTGCATCTAATTTTTAAGAGAATGTTTAAAGCTGTTTACTGATAAAAAAAAGTTTTCATTTTAATCATGTTCATTAAAAATACATCAACCTACCAAGCATAAAAATCAGAAGTACGAAAATTCTCTCAGTAAAAAATAATTCTTAAATAAAAATACATTGAAAGACTTTTTAAATAATGAACACATTTAAAAAAACACTGGCGCTTCCACAAAGCACAACAGACATTATTCATGCACAGCATTTCCTTGATGAAATAATACATAACATTTAAGATTTTAGAAAGTGTATATGCATTTTACTTTCTCAGAGACATAACTAAATCCAAAGCTCAAAGCACATGAAACAAGCACTGCTTAGTAATGAGATAAATGCAAACAGCTTCACTCCTGCTTTGTGCTCATCAGTAATATAGACCACCTAAGGCACTATGGCTCAATGGAGAACAGGTACATGATATTTTCAGACAAACGATTGTTCCCACACCCACAACAGTAACATGCTGTAAAATCTCACTGATGAAATGGCCTTTGTTTCCTTTCATAGGTAATCTAAAGAAAAATCAAGAAACTTCAGACACCAGAAATAAGGTTTCTGAGTGCAAATAACAAAATATATTAAGCTACACTACATAAAAATGAGAATTTAACAAATATCAGAAAATTGTGAAAATATTATAAATCAAGTTGGTAGAAGCCTAATCAAAAACCAAGCCAGAACCTCTGCTCTAATATCTCCCTTGAAACTCAAATAGAAGTCCAATAAAAAATGAAGCTGGAATCTCTGCTGTAATACTTCCCTTGGAAGGCACTTTGAAGGCATTAGTTTCAATGAGAAAATTTGCACCATTCTATATTCAGAACTTTTAATTAAACATACATTCACATTTCAATACAACTATTAGTAAGTGATAGATGCAAAAAATAGTTTGCCAGATAAAATGCTATGACAACTAGCCCTGGTGCAAAGCACAAGATCTGTGGCACAAAAATTCTTACCTCTGGTGCAATCATCTATTGTTCAGATTGAGGACAATTTGTTGAGGACATTTTTTACAAACAGATAATATTAAGAATGTGTTTAGTTATCACTCGCCACAATCTGCAGTTATCTTCCTTCACAAAGTGATTCTTGACTGAATGAACAAAAAAAAAAAAAAAAAAAAAAAAAAAAAAAAAAAAAAAAACAGGCAGCCCAGTATACTAGAGTTAAGAATCTGCACAATCTGGTCTTTAACCCATGTGCGCATCATATCTGCCTGATAGTACACGCAGCATTGTGAGTACAGTGGAACTGACAAAATTTGGGACCTAGTTCAGTACCAAATATAACTATTGGAATGAAATGGAGATGGCAAGAATATCTGGCCAACACTCCTGAGATGTGTTGACCACATGCTTCTTGCTGCAATTGCAAGAACTAATTTTATGCTAGAGTATAAGAAGGCAAAACAACTGCACCAAAGTAAAACAGAATATTACTTTAGCTGATGACATAAGCATATGTAGATGAACTAGCTACATAAAAGACTGCATGAGAATTACGTTTATTGATCTATACTGAAAGCTACAAAAATAAGAGACATGATAATCCCCTGCATTTACACAATGTCACATTCTACCTTTATACCAAGGGACTAAATACAAGTAGAGAAAGCAATATGTGACAGGCACAAATAATAGTACAAAGAACAATTTGCAACTGCTTTCTCAAATCTTGCAATGGAAATTGTAACCTAGAAGATGAAAAACACTCAGGCAAACCCTGAGTTATAGATGAGGATACCCCCTTATACAAGTAAGGTCCTATTCTGCCAAATATAGGATTAAACAGGAATTCCACCAATATCTGTTAAAACACTGTTTCATCAAATCTACTTTTTACAAATATCTCTATAAGCATAGTTATTATATGAACTTATATGATACATGGCTTTACTTCACATAATTCAAATAAAAGAAATATGCTTCAAACTTCTGAAATGCAAGAAAACTTTTTGAGAAGACATGGCTGGTAATAGCAAATGGATCATTTACAATAACGTAGATAAGAAATCTTATTGCTACAGCACAGTGACACACATTCTTAAAAGGAAAGCAATGCAATTCAAAATAGCAGGTGCAAAGTGTTTCGTTTTGCAATAGACTGCAACCTCTAAAACAGGACTTATAAACTGACATGTGTTTAAATCTATCACCACATATAGGCAAACATACCTGTCTGTTACTTCCAAGGTTGCTGACAGAAAACGTGCATTGCTGGCAGGTAGCGTACACGTCACCAGCTTGTTAAACAATTCACAGATAGCATTATGGAGAAATAAGTATAATGCACAATAAGCCAAATGGTGTGCATTCATGTTGTGGTGCATCTATTACTGAAGGAAGTAAAGCAGAAGTATCCAACAGATGACATAGTTCCAACATACCTTGATAAGGGTTTTTACATGGAAGTTATTAACCCTATTGGAGCAATGAAAATCTCTACCAGCAACATCTCAAAAATTCAAGACAACATTGGCAAATATGTCTCTTGAGATAGGTGATGCAATGGAACACAAAGTGGCATAAATTCGCCACATCAAATTTCAGAAGGTTTCAGAAGTCCTGCAATTCATTACCGCCATTTAAGGAAGTAGCTCTCCCAGTTTTAAACCAGTACATATTTTCTTCGTCTAAAATTCTCCTTCCATTCAGACAAACTTAAGCAGCATATGCAATGCTTGTATCTGCGAGTCTAGTACCATTATATGCATTACATATGCCAATCCATGGCTGTAAATACTGCTGTTACAAGCACCATTTTATGCACTCTGTTTTAGAGTTTGTGGTTTAGTGTGAAATGCCAGACTTTAACACCAGTAGTTTTGTTACATGCTTAACCCTTTGACATGCGGTGCTCACGCCCTGAAACCACCAAATTATCGAATATTTTTCTCCTCTTCCTTCCGAAATTTTTGAGTGAAAATCAATTGATTACTGATCTTTTACCTCTAAATAACACAAAATGACTGCAAAATCATACAGGTTTAAGTTCTTAGGTACTTTCAAATTCGGAATTGCCTTTTAAAATTCGTTTTCAATGAGACAAAATAACATCCTTTTATCAATATAAACAACTTTTTAAATTTCAAACATTATTCATTGCACATCATGATTTCTATCATAAACAATAAAAAATAGCAATAATTAAACTGCATATATAAAAAAACCCTCTATACATATCGCATTTGCTTTGTGGTTTCAGGGCGCGACCGCTTCACCACTTGAGCATTGTGTCACAATGCTCTAGAGGCTTGGTGGTCGCACCTTGAAACCACTGCTCTTCACAATGGCGTTTGCTTGCTTCTCAAATAGAAATGTTTATTTTTACCCAGATATAGATAAGGGGTTTTGAAACCACAGAGTTATTTTATTACTAGACAATACATGCACCTGCCCAGAAAAAAGGTCTTTCTTCTCCAGAGACTTTTCTCTGATCTCAACACACTTGCTTCCCAAGCTAGTATTGTGATTTTATAAATTATTTCCTGTGGATTAAATTTAATGTAAATATACTTTGCTGTAATTAAAAATAGAAATCACCTAAAGTTTCATTTAAATTAAAAATATTTTCTGAATATTTTGGGACAAAATACGAATAAAATAAGTATGAATGAGAAACAAATGCTTCGTATCAAAGCCAAAAAGAGCAAGCCCCCCCCATTAACATAAAAAAACCACAAATTTCATGTGCCAGATGAAAAGAAAGTAAATAATGCTGGACCAGTGAAATTTAGATCCAATCAGTGTACATTTTTGTAGCACAAGGAAAGACCAAGTTATTTTTACTATTATTTTAGATACTCATAGAAGAAGATGCATGTGGCGAAACGTGCAATGTGGGCATGCATGTATCAAAAAGACAAAACATGCTTTAAACAGTGTCACAAAAAATATTCGTTCTTTGAAATTAAAAAAAAAAAAAAAACACAGAGTCTTTTTTTTTAATCCTTATTTTACTGAGTTTTTTAATCTATGTAGCCAAATGTCCTTATTATGTAGGTACTTATACTTTCACTACTATAGAAAAATTACATAAATGTTTATTTTTAAATTTTTTCTGACGATTCACTTGGTAAAATAATGTAAAAAATATATATATTATGCAATTCCTACATGCATTTTTTAAAAAATTTGTAAATTTCGTCATTTATTGGAAACGCGCATGGAGAGAGGTAATTTTTTTTCCCTACTACCTAGGTAAGTTTCAAAGTCCTAGACGTGCGGTGGTTAACAATGGGCAAGAGTAGATTTTTTTTAATTCATATATTATTTGTCTCTAGGATCATAATATTCAATTTCTAGAGTTTTTAGTTAAAAAAATTATAAAAATAATATTGCACGCATCAAAGGGTTAATACTTGTATTGTGGTGATTATTATAAAAAAAGTCCTAGCAACACCTAAAGAGGACTACATTCAAGGATTTTATTTGGTAATCAGTAAAACTATAAAGGCAAATTTCACTACCAACTAATTTTACTACCAATATCAACCAAGTAATATGAATAGCATCCAGCTGAACATTTCATTGGCATACATTTTAGCATAGATGATAGTCAGATCGTGTAGTCTTCTAAAAGTTTAACTTTTTAAAGATATACAGAAGTTGGAAATCAGGTAGTTTATCTTGCATACAAGGTAGGATTCAAAAGTTCCCGGACTGAGTCTATAAAGTAAAAAATATTATGAATTAAATTGCAGAAAAACATCCTCCTTCGAAAT